CTTACCAGCCTGTAAATACCATTATATGCCAACAGCTCCCCAAATTAGATCTCCTGTCCAATCCTGTTTCCAGACTTTAGATTCCCATGTACAACCACCCACTGAACAGATTTTCATCCCTCAAGCCTGCTCCTCCCACACTCTTTCCTATCTCAGTAAATGGCAAATTCAGTCTTCCCGTTGCTCAGGCCAAAATCTTTGAAGTCGTCCCTGACTCCATTCTCTCTCACACCCCACCCACATCCCAGCTGTTAGCAAACCCTATAGGTGTTACCTGCAAAATTATCTAGAAACCAACCACTTCTCATCACCCCACCACCATCACCCAGACCTCTCTTGGATTACAGAAGTGGTCTTCTGATCATCTTCCAGCCTTTTTGCTCTGAGTCACCCCTATAGTGTAGTCTCAATACATCAGCTGGAATGTTCCTTTCAAAAAATAAGCCAAATCACATCCTTTACTCCTCTGCCCTAAGCCTCCCAATGGCCTCCAGGCCCCTGCTTCTTTCTCCCTATTCATTCCCCTACAGCTGGATGGCTTTGCTGTTCCTTCAAGGTACATGGGATGTTTCCACCATTGAGCCTTCGCAATGGCTGTTCCCTCTGCCTGAGATGTTTTTCCTTCAGATATCTGCGTGACTTATGTTTTTCCCCGTGCTTACGCTGTTTATGTCAACAAACAGAAAACAGTATTTAAAAAAAATGGAGAGGTAATAATTTTTAAAGATACTGGTTATAAACTCTACTAAAAAGTTTTAAGTAAGAGCTTTTTTTGAAGCAAAGTGGAACCGCTACCCCACCACTCCCCAGGCTCCTGGTTTGGGGATACATACTGTCCCTTAGCGGCCATTCTAGGAAAAGTCCCATTTTCTGGGGGTTGCTGGTGTTCCCTACATTAGAACACAGTATAAACTTCCATCCCACCTGTCCTGACCTGCCAGATATTGCAGTCCCAGAGACTCCCAAGGTAAACTGTGTGTGTAGTGGAGGACACAGGTTTTGGAGTCCGGCCTTACAGGAATTTCAGATCCCCAATTATTCACTGAGTGATCTCGGGCAAGGGACCTAACTTCAACCTTTACCCACTGGTAAAATGGAGATAGTAATATATACTTCAGGGGCACCTGGGTGATGCCATTGGTTGAGCATCTAACTTTTGGTTTCGGCTTAGGTCATGATCTCAATATCGTGGGATCAAGCTCTGTGTTGGGCTCTGTGCTCAGTGGGGAGTCTGCTTGAGATTCTTTCTCTCCCTCTCTCCCAGGAGGCTATGCCTTATGAAGAGTTACCACATAAAGCCTGAGGCTGAGGGTGGCCCAGGCCACTGGGAAGGGCTCCAAGGGAATCCTGTTTGGGGAAGACAGTTGCCCTTTCCTTGAGGACTCAGACACCTCCCGACATAGATTCCAGTCTTGGCCTGGCTCACACTGAGAGTGACCCCATGGAGCCTTGCCCCTTCTGGGCTAGGCCTTTGTAGACTGAGGGGTTGGGCTAGCTTAGAGCTCTTTGGGGATTTGTGGGCTCTAAAAAGCCATGAGAGATCGTCTGGGGTATCTGTGCTGAGGTCATGTAGGGAGCTTGGGAGGAAGAAATGTCACAATGGGTATGGCTGGGCATATGAACAGGTCTGTGAAGGTGACCAGCAATTCACACCCCAATTTTAGAAGAGAAGGCACACTAGCAGGTTATCCTTAGAGAACAAGGTCTCCAGGCTTTCAGGCATGAAGCAAGAAGGCTGACACCATGATGGAAGGATCCCCTCCCCCAAACCTAAATCACAGGACCCACTGTTTGAGACTTTGAACCTCTCCTACAAGACTGACATTCTTTCTTCCCCTCCCGTGGTCTGCTCTCTGGCCTGTCTAGGACAGGATCCAGAGCTGCTTCACACAGACCCCTGCAATCAGGAGGGCTGCTTTCATCTCCAAGCCTGAATACAACCTCCCACTGCACCTCAGACTGGCACCACTGTTGAAAGGAGCCAGCCCTGCCTGACAAGCCAGAGGGAATTCCAGAGATAAGAACTTGGGTCTCTGAAAAGCTCTGGCCCCATAAAGAACCTCCTGCTGAAGGAGAGGGCGGGCCTGGAAAGGGAAGGGATGCTATCACCTGATTCTCAGGGAGCAGTAATGTGGGGTCGTCACCCATGGGATTCCTCCACGAATGGATTCCTTTAGTCCACATGTAAATTCTTGCCCAAGGCCACTGCTCAGTGGAGAATCTGCCAAACCCATGAGAAAGGAGCTTCCCCTTGCTGAGGGGGCCTGGGGCCCCTTTAGTGATCTGAAGGGTGTTAGCTCCCCGATGACCTCAAGCATCCTATCCAATCTCCTGAATCTCTTCCCTTTGCAGCACTAACCCCCATCCTCATCTTTCACTTGGATCACTCCCTATAGCTCTTTCCTGGGTCTCTTGCCTCAAAGTTAATCCTCCAATCCCTTCTATACACTCTGCTGGAGACACTGCTCTAGAACTGGGTGGGCAAACTAAGGTCCTTGGCCAAATCCAGCCTGCTGCCTGTTTTTGTACAACCCATGAGCTAAAAATGGTTTTAGCTGGGAAAAAAATGATATTGTGACATGAAAAACTGTATGAGATTCTAATTTCAGTGTCTATAAAATAAGGTATTGTGGGGACAGAGTCATGCTCATTTGCTTATGTATTGTCTGCGGCCACTTTGACATCACAATGGCAGAGTTGGGTAGCTGCAACAGAAACTCTAAGACTCACAAAGCCTAAAATATTTTCTATTTGGACCTTTACAGAAAACATTTGCTGACTCCCACTCTGGATCAAAAATCCAGTCATGCCATTCTCTGCTTAGGACCCTCCAGTGGCTCCTTGTGGTTCTCCACAGCTGACCCCTTCCTACCTCTCCAGCCTCATCACCTGTCCTTCCAGTTGTCTGCCCACTCTGAACAAATAACCGTTCTTCAACCCCACCACAAACCACATCCCTGGGCTTGTCTTACGCTATTTATCTTTCCTTGGCATGCTTCTCTTCTTCTTCTAATGGCAGACTACCATCTTAAGACTCAGCCCAAATGTTTCCTCCCGTTTCCCTTCTCCCAACCACGAGAGCTAACCCACTCCTACCACGTCACAGGAAACTCCTCTTATGGCTCTACTCAGCTTTTAATAACAGACTAATGACTTATTTGTAGATGACCAATTCCATTATAGACATTTGTTCAGGTATGTGTCCTCTGCTGGATTACTAACTGTGAAGAACAGGCCACAGCCTTAGCACAAGGCTGCACGTGGTGGGCACATAAGCATTCTCCAGAAGAGGTCTGTTTAGCATTCTATACTTTTACGTAGCTAATAGTATGGAGGAAGAAGATGCTTATATATTTTCCAGATACTAAGTATCTTTTTTTTTTTTTTTAAGAGAGGGAGACAGACAGAGAGAGGTGGGTGGGGGAGGAGCAGAGGGAGGACAGACAGAATCTTAAGCAGCCTCCACGCCCAGAGCAGAGCTCATCTCATAACCCTGAGATCATGACCTGAGCTGAAATCAAAAGTCAGAAGCTTAACGGACTGAGCTACCCAGGTGCCCCTCATTTTTCTTTTTAAGTAAACTCTACACCCCACATGGGGCTTGAACTCATGACCCCAAAATTAGAGTCAGATGCTCTACCAGCTGAGCCAGTCAGGCACCCCCAAGTATCATTTATATAAACTTTTAGCATTCATGATAGATCAGGCACCTACATGTATCTGATCTCATTTAATCTTTACAACGACCCTGCTAAGGCAGGTGGATACCTCCATTCCATCAAGTGGCGAGTTATGTGGCACAGCTGGCATCTAGAATCAGGTCTCCTGCCTCCTGAATTCTGAGATGTTCTTCATGAGCAGGTCATCCATTGAACCACTGCTTCAAAGATGTTAACAGATGCTCGTGGGCTTCCTGCTGTTTGGGGCCACTGACCCTGTGCTAAATGAGTCGAGAGAGAGGAGGTTTTGTAGTTTTCCATCTCCTCCCTCCAGTTGCTTCTTCTTCTTCCTGTACCTGCTGCCTCTCAAGGCAGATTGTCTGGGTCAGGACCAAAGGGTGGTCCTGCTCTTCCTATGAAAACTAAGTGCCAGTTTTGTGACGTCACTTCTGAAATCCGTTGCTCTGGGGCTTGGGCTTGCTCTGGACAAAGAAGTTGTTGCAAGTCTGGCCTCCAAGCTGGAAGGGTGCCACGGCAGAGAGGGCCAAACTAATGTTAACTGTCAATGCACCTGCCTTTACAAAAGACTCAAGAATGCCTCCAGAGGGCTGTTGGGATAAGCCCTGGACTGTCCACATACTTCTGTGAATATTTAAACAGAAGTCCAGAGCTCAGAGACAAGGAGAGCCAATACAGCTGCTCCAGGCCTGGGAGAAAGCAACACAGGAAAGATAAATCTATCTGAGACTCTTTCTCAACCCAAGAGGAGTTAGGGCTACACTGGTCAGTACACAGAGGCCACAGTGTGAACCTGGCAGGAGGAGAGCTTGCTCTATGTCCTCTACCATCATAGCATATATAGCTAAACTGCAACAGGACAGGCTCGGTGATGTGGGATGAGCCACATCCCTGAACTCTAGAAAATGGAATTCTGTAAAGCACCCTGACCCCTTTTCTAGGTCTAGAACTGATGGCATTAAGAACCCCTAAGATCAATTCAGCCAGATAGAACTATGAGAGTTTTTGGCAAAAGACTCAGATAAGATAGCTAGGTTTAACACAACACGTGTGATTCTGGATGTGTTTGGTATTTTGGACTGAGAAGTTCACTTGTGTCTTTCCAAAGATTGTGATCAGTTTGGATTAATCCAAAAAATGAGGTGCAGCTAATGTTGCAGGCATTTTTAAGAGGAGGATGGATAATTGGGACAACTGAGGCTTTGACTAAGTGCCACTTTCAGGCTAAAATTCTGGTTTGTTCAAATCAAACCCAATGTTCCCCCGGCCCTCTGAGCAATCAGTGATGGTGGAGCCTCTGCAAATACATGACTGAATCACTAGTGACCATCTAGTCAGAGATCTGGCTGTACTGAAACACTTTATACAGACAGAAGAGAGGACAAGGGAATTTCTGACACACTCATGCTTTGGACATATCAGTACAAGACAGTATGTGAGACTGTGTGTGAGTCCACCAGGCAGTTGGGAACAAGCATGATTTATCTGCTGGCAAACAAGTCTCCATCACACCTAATCATTCTTTTATCTAAGTGCATCTTGATCTTCTCAGTCCTGGACATCAAAGTAGTCAATTACTGGTTCCTTGGCTATTTTCTGTAAATTACTGCTTGCAGGATTCCTGAAAAGCAAACAAAGAATGATCAATCTTTTCTTGTTTGGGGGAAACAGACTGAAGTCTTCAGAAAGTTAAGGGTCAGCCAATTTGCCATTTGCAAAGCTTTGATAAGATAGGGGGACCCACATGAACTGGGAACTATTAAAATTTGGTGATGGGCACACAAGGGTTCACTATATTAACATATTCTCTACTCTAAAAGTTTTCCACAAAGTTTTATACAAAAATAAAGCAAACAAAGGGAAAAAAAGATAGCATGGCATAAACAGGCCAAAGATCCCACACGGTTATGTTGAGGTAGTACTGGACACAGCTGTGGAATAACATGTGGAATACCTTCACATTTCCCAAACCACTGCCCACATGGATATGGAGCTGGGCTGACTAGAATCCAGGCCGTCTGCTCTCCAGGGGTGAAGCAGGGCTGGTCCTGGGGAACTACACTGATCTAGACAATCCTTGCCAAGGTTATGCCCAATGGGCAACACCCAGCTGTCCTGTCCAGTCTTTGGGAACACTGCTTGCTAAGGCCATCATGGTGACCCTGTAAACTGCCCTTCCTGCCCTCCCAGAGGTTCTGTATAAGAGGTTCTGGTAGGGCTGCTGTGTGGAAGGCCAGGACAGCATTAGGGACCCTGCTGGGTTTTAGAGCAACTTTCAGCAATGCTGCCTCAGTCACAATAAGGGAAAAAGGGATGGTGCTCCTTCCCTGCTCCTAAGACTTGCTGCTTGCCAATGTGGTTTTCTTTTCTCTTTAAATCATGAAAATATGTTTTTGTTATAAAAATTATTTAAACCATACAGAAGTAGACAGGTCAAAACACAAAAGTCTCTACCTTCACTGCAACCCCGCCCACTAGCTGACTTTCACCTCCACAATAACTTTGTGAACCATGTGATGTTCCTAAATCCTCTGGTGTGACAGACTGAATCCACTTCCCAGTGTCACCACCTACACCATGGAAGTTATGTCCAGTGACTTTTTCCCAGAGGGGAAGTGGGCATTATGAACATCAAACTTGGGACCCCTCAGGCAGGAACAAATGTCTGACATCCCAGTCAAACCTTACTAATTTGAACAAAGCACCCCAAGGCCAGGCCTGAGAGGTCGCCAATGGCTGGTGGAGTCCCAGACAGTTCAGCCCCTGCTGGCTTCTCTGAATAGACAGGGCCTTTGGAAAGCAGCTGAAGGATCCTTACTTGTCTGTCTGATGTCTGTGATGAGGAATTGGTGGTGGTGGTCGTGACTGCATTTCCCTTTCAAGGACACATGTCAGCGTGCTAGGAGGACAAATGGACTTCCCTCTGATAAAAGTCAGAACACAAAGTATTGAAAAGTGAGAACTGTTTGTGGAGACAGGCAGACTGCTGGAAATCCAGTCATGACTTTCACTGTGCTGCTGCTGAGGGCTCTGACGTGACCCATCCCCTCTCAGGCATGGTCACCTTCATTTAACCCTCGTCCTTCCACTCACCTCTGTCTGGGCCTGTTACCTGCTCCCTCTCAACCCATGCTCAAGTTTTCTTCATTGGTAAGGACCTACTCTGTCAGGTTCTGACAGTGATCCTAGATCCTCCCTGTCACTTCCCAGGTCACACTGCAGCCTCAGTTTCTTCTACTGGCAAACACTGTTTACGGGCGATGCCCTGAATCAGAGTCCAGCATTTTTTGCTTTCATCATGCCGGAGGACAAGGGAAAAAGGGACAGACAGATGGGATGGGCAGGCACTCAAGCCAGGCCCTCAGGGTCTGTTCCCTGGGCCTGAGGAAATGCTGCCTCCAGTGTTGCTCATGAATCAGGGCAGACAAGAGCCTTGTGTGTCTTTAGGCATGTCTGTCCTGGGGACTGAAGCATGGGCTTTGCTCTCTGGTTCAGACCTTTAGATCAGACCTTCTGATCATGTCAGAAAGGCTAGCCCAGAAGCAGATTTTCTATCTATTCTTCTAGGAGAGGAATTAAGGCAAGCAAATGTTGGTAGACCTTGCTTCCGAGGTTCAGCTTGCCGAAATGAGCATTCCTCCTGTGATGGCAAGATCAACCCACCTGACTGCAGTGACCACGACATTGCGCTTTGGTTCACTGTCATAGCTCACGCTCTCCAGGCCATACACTTGGGCCAGGTCGTGGATGATCCGGCGGTGGTCTCTGTTCATGGGAGGGAAGCAGTGGCTCTTCTTACTATTCTTTCCCTGTATTGAGGGAAAAGATGACTGATTGATAAAATCATCCTGCAAACAGAATATACTTACAAAGGTCCAAAACAGCTGGGTCAACAAAGAGGTGGCTGAGTTTTAGAGGCCCACAGCATACAGTATTTTGCTGGCTGCTAAGCAAGCCGAGGGGTTTGGGAGGATAAGGTCTGATGCACTTCCTTCATCTATTCTTTGAGCCGCAATAGTAGCAGCTGGCCAGGGTTAGTAAGTGAAAAGAAACTAGGTGGACAGTATAATGGTTCCTCCTACTGGGCTGGTAACTGGGGAGTAAGTGATATACCCAAGAAATGACTAAATAAATTGAAGACCTAAAACAAGACAGTCTCATTTCTTATAAAAATATATTCTACACTAAAAATCATGAGTGTGCAGGTACAGACACACTAGCAGGGAAATACATTTGCACAAGTTTCCTAGTTAGAGAGGAACAATGATCCCATTTTTTCCTTCATGTTAGTATCCTGGGAAGTGGGAACAGAGGGAACGAAGGGAGGAAGAGCAGGGGCTAAGGGAGATGGTGGGAAGGAAATCCACCTTCATTAGATATGGAACTAATACAGGCATCTCATCCTCATTCACGGTCCCCACGGAATAAAGAGGGAGCCACCCTGAGGTTGGCTGCTTCTGACTAAAAGACTTTTCCCTTAAAGCTATCTCCAGGACAAGGGCTCTAGTCATTCAACTTTTGATCCTTACCCAAGGGTTTCTACTCTGCCTGGGGGGTAATAAAGAACCAGTGTGCCCTATCATTCAACAGCCCCCCAGAGACTATGTCTTCCTAAGTACCCAACAGTCATTCAGCTGTCACTACTGAATGCCTCTGGCTTTCCAGAGCTTCTTCACCCAATCTTAGCCACTGAGCTAAGATTTTTTATTTACACTGAATTTGATGGAGCATATCTTTGCTGAACCAGGACAAGGCTTCCATGGATGTTATAATGGCTGGGCTTTTGGGAAAGATAAGGATCGTCAAGAAGTTGTGACATTTTCCTGTAACTACTCTACACTGATGGTGTTTCTGGGACTTGATTTTTTTTTTTTTTTTTTAATCAAGCTAGCCTTAGAGACATGTCCAGTTGGATGTTTTGACTTCAACCTTATTCACGGTCTCCACAAGGGCTTCCATTTCTTTTTCAATGTCACTGACAAACTTTAAATCCTTCCTGAAATGAGAAATCACCACAGTTAATTTCATCTGTTCCTGCTTTTTGAGACTCCCTTCCACCCACACTCTCTGCCCTAACCTGCAGATAATGAACAATGTGGGCGGAAAAATGGCAAAGGTCAGGAATTGTCAGATAACAGAAGACTGACTGTGAATAACAAAGGAAGAGAAAAAGAAAACAAGTATGAGAAAGGAGATGATGGGAAGGAGAAAGAGCTGTCTGGAGGGTCAGGACACAGGAGGAAAATAACAGCTATTACTGCCCAAGTGAGGGCCCATGTCGGCAGCCAGAGATCTCTCAGGTCAGGCTAGTCCAAGCCCTAGGAGCCCCAAACTTCTACTACAGGGTCCACACACCCACCCCCCATGCTCAATTCTTCAAGGGGACAATTGTGAGAAACCAAGAAAGGATTTTTATTAAGCATCATATAATCTCTTATAATAGATATATAAACTTTAACTGGCTCAATCACAGAGGAGTACGTATTAGTTACTACAACTTAAAAGACCAAACACTCTTGTAAGCCAAAATTAAGAAAGCTGGTAACAAGTTACATACATACCTGGCATCGTCTTTTAAACTGTCACTGAATTTTGACCCTGAAGAACGTACATTGAAAGGATCGGAATCCTCACTAATATGAAATGCCTCTGCTAACCGCCTGAAAATAAGAGAGAAATAAGTAAATAAAAGGAAAGGGGAGGAAAACTTCTTATAGTAACACAGAGTGCCCACCATGTCCTAAGTTCTTTATACATTAATGATGCCATTTCGGCAAACCCAATTATTAAGGAAGGAATAACAACAACTTGGGACAAGATATGAGTTTGTCTTCCTAGAATAAAATAAACAAGACAAATCTATGTGGGTCTGAGTGAACCAAATGGACTGACACTGGCAGCTTGGGTTATCTGGAAGAGAAGGGGGGCGGGGAATGAGAGCACTGGGAGTGGTCAGTGGGGGATGGCATGGCAGTCTCTGAGGTTTTACCTAAACATCAGATACATAAAGTAGACACATAAACATTAAAATTAGAATCACCTTACAGAAAATCTGGAAAATAAAGGGAAGAATTCCATTAACAACCTAAGCACTATATTTTATTACACTTCCTTTCAGATTTTTTTCCCTTTAAGTCATTGCAATTAGGGTATATAAAACTTGGCATCTGGGGCACCTGGGTGGCTCAATCAGTGGAGCATGTGACTTGTGATCTCCAGGTTATAAGTTCGAGCCCCACGGTGGGTGCAGAGATTACTTAAAAATAAAATCTTAGGGCGCCTGGGTGGCTCAGTCAGTTGGGCATCTGCCTTCAGCTTGGGTTGTGATCCCAGGGTCCTGGGATCAAGTCTCGTATCGGGCTCCTTGCTCGGTGAGGAGCCTGCTTCTCCCTCTGCCTCTGCTCTCTCTCTTTCTCGCGCTCTCAAATAAATAAATCTTAAAAAAAAAAGTTAAAGAAAAAAACCCTGAAAAACCCCAACTTGGCACCTTTCTTCACCTATCATTATATGATTGGCATTTCTCATATTACTATTTGTTTTTCACATTTACTGTTTTTTTTTTTTTTTTT